TTTTTTTTTTTTTTTTTTTTTTTTTTTTTTTTTTGAGAATGTGTGGTTGAAAAGGTAGGAAAAAATTTCGATTTATTCAGAAGGAGGGCCCGTGTCTAAACCTAACAAAAGAAAAAATGACTATAATGTTTACAAGAGACAGCTTCAGAATTTCATTTACCTGTTATTGAAAGGAGAACTCCTCCAAGTGAAATCCATCCATCTATACCAGTTTGACTAAAGAACTTGATGATATAGTGTGGAGAAAGAGCCAACACAATTTTCGGGTTCCAGCGTATTGTATTATACAGCCCAACGGAAAAAATTGATATCAACCAGAGAAAAATGATGGGTGCAAAGAAGAAACCGACCTTCTGGGTTCCAACATGCTGCAAAGCAAATAGGCCGACCAATATGATGCAAGCAATGAATAGTACTTCTCCTACAGATAGAATATTGTTTTGATAATCAAGACAATAACTCGGTCCAGAAAAATATAAGTACACACCAGTATTCAAAGAATCCATAACCCAAGTCTAACCAACAAAATACGCAGAACAGTACATACCCTGGGTCAAATTTGTTCCAGCAGCTTCAAGACCAGATACTGATGATAAAACTGCAATAAAATATATGTACACAATGGTTGTGGAGAGACTAAAACAGAGCTTCGTGCAAGAACTGAAAGTAATAGCAAATAGAAAATGCCCAAAAGTACATTAATAATGGGAAGGGAAAAAAGACAAAAGGATCAATTGCATAACAAACATGACTACTTAAAAATTGTTTTGGGTTAGAGTATTCTACGTTGAAATGTGTCTGTTCTGTTCTTAATCTTAATATAAAAAACTACTTAAACTAAAGTAAGCCCCATCATTTCGTTAAATGGGGTAAAAGATTTGGTTCATTTCTATTCATGCTCAATCATAGACAATCTAAATATAAACTTCATGACTAGATATTAGCAATAGCACAAAATGAACACCCTTGTATAAGTGTCACGTATAAAATGAACATCAATAGTGTCAAAGCACAATATAGACTCGTGTAAGGTCATTAAAGAAATAAATGTCTTAAAAGTCGTTTAGCTTGGCATAACGCTTGACCCATAGTCGATACTGAAACAGTAAATAATGAAGAAGACGACATTAAATGTCTTTGACCTGATCTCATTTGAACCACATCAACGATGATATTATCATACCTGAAATTGCAGGGGTAATTACACCATCACCTATTACCATACCAGCCCCCAGTAATACTACGAGCAATAGAAGTGTACGCAATTTCTTGTGTTTCTCGAGGAACCTTTTCAATGCTAAAGATGTTGAAGACTGTCCTGAGGGACCATATTTGTAAGCAGACAACTCCTCATCAGCTGCTTGTTGATTGGGAAGTAAACTGAATTTTGCATGTCTGCAAAGCAAGGAGTAAAGAGCAAAAGTACCACCTGAGGTAATTGAATTATGGTTGGTCAGAACTAGCGGGAGCAAATATTTATTGGCTAATATCGTATAACAGAGCTGTTTTAGCATACCTTCACCATTATCATCGGCACTCAACAGCATAAATACATATTTCAGCAGAGGAATGAGCGTTAAGGTCCAAAATATTAATGAAAATGCACCAAATATTGCATCAGAAGTTTGATGATTCTGCAACTTCCCAACAAATATGCTTCTATAAACATAAAGAGGTGAAGTGCTCAGATCTCCATATACCACCCCAAAGCTTTGGTATGCTAACACTAGAGCACCGGGAAGATTCTCCAAACTAAACTGCAAGTTAGCAACTAAGTACTTCAGTACACGTTGAATTATTAGCACAAATTTATTCAATGTGTACACTCTTTTTTATGCTTTGTTTTCTTTTTCTGTTGAAACGAAGAGTGTCTAAACTGAAAGTTCTTTTATTTAGCACCCTGCTGGACCAGACACAGTTTTATAATTTCAGAAAACCAAGAGAATAAATTTTTTAGGGTCCAGAACATTTAGGCCAGAAAGCCTCCCTAATACTGAACAATTTTTGCGCACCTCGTGCTGAACTGAGAGACCCTAAGAACCTATAAAATTGGTGACAGTGGTTTTAGACCCTATAATTTGGGGGCATTCCCATGCAACCTTTGGCATCCTTGTTTTATGTTATCCCGCCATGCCTTCTTTCAGTTTTATAAACCTTTTAGTTGTCACCCAGCTAGTTTCAGCTATATAAAATGTGATTCCTGAAGGAAGCAAATAGAGCAACTCCATACCTTTGAGGTTAACTTTCTTTTGCCCCTACTTGATTCTTGTCCCAAACCCACCGCCCCTGGAGTTGGCAAGATATTGCTGTCTTCGTTGCGGTCCATGTCGATTTGATTCATCTATTTTCCTGCCAATATTTTGGTTTATTGATTTCTGTAGGGCCTTCTGAATGCAACTATTGTCAAGAAGCCAACTGAACTGGCATTCCCAGCATCCTCAGGAAAAACTTGAAGGTTTGTGGCATTTCCAGTGAAATTAAAATCTTCATCCCAAAAAAAGGTCAATTTGAGCTACTTATAGCCTTGGAAGAAATTTTTACACAACAATGAATAGCTTGATGCTACCATACACTGCTAGACTGAATGCATAAGGGTAAGAATACAGTCAAAAACTGCCACCATTAACGTAGTATGACTAAAGAACTTAGAACGGATCGACTTTATATCCATTCATACTCAAAAGACGTTGAAAACGTAACAGATTGAAGTTAAAGAACCAAGAAAACACTGATGGCATCTTGGCCAGTTCAAAGTATGAAAGCCTCAAACGGACATAATGGAATCCTTTCATCTTAGTCATCGAAATCACTCAAAGAGGAAAAAAATTCACATTAATGGTTATGTCTCAGATAAGCACATGTTGCCCTAATATTAAGGAGTTCACTTATAAGTAAAATAGTAAATAAGTTAGTTTAAGAATAAATAATTATCATTAGTTAAAGTTGGAATAAGTAACTCATTTTGTCAGTGAGATGAGATTTACTTCAATCAAGTATCATCTGTTTACATAAATATAAGGAAGGTAATAAATCCAAACATGTTTCGAACAAATTAATCTTTTGATTCTCTTTTAAACTTAGCCAAATATGCTTGTAATCCATACTTTAGTTGACAAAAGAACACGCATATCAACCAGTATTTTTTCAGTTATCCATTTCAGATCTTTCATAAGCATATATCCATCAAAATAACAACAAACATATTCCATGAAATCCAATGAACAGTGGAAAAAAACAAAACAAAAATTACCTATTGTGCAGCTCAAATAACCAGAATTGAATAATTACCATTTCAGATCATAAAATCCATCTTTAGTTATGCTCCAAGAGATCCAGTTAACAGGAAGAAAAACAAATATTAGCCATTCACAGCTCAAAAATCGAAATTATAAAATATCTATAAGCTTCAGTAACGAAAATATCCTTATGAATCCAATATACAGTAGAAACAAAGTCAACCATTTATTAGCTCAAAATCAAACAAACAAATCTCATTCGACATCATAAAAGTAGAAAAAGGTTTTACCTTCACAGGCCCGACGAGAAATTGGAACCTATAGTAATCAAGATGAAAAAACCACGTTCAATTTAACATATAACACACATACCTGTGAAATACGCATACGCAGAGAAAATAAAAATTCTAAATCTTAATAAATTAGTGAGAAAAAAAAAAAAAAGGAAGAAGAAGAATCATCCAACCTTTTTCACCTCCGTAGTAAATGGGGCCGGGAGCTCTAAAGGACTAGTCAATTATCCGCATCATGTTTATTAAAGAAATAAACATGATGCAAATAAATTATTGAAAATATGTTACGTATTGTTGCAAGTTGTTTATATTAATATGCAGATTGGATTTTTTAATACACGGGTGGATGATTCAAATTTTTAAATCGTTATTATCTCGGGATAACTACAAAATTTAGGTTATGTCACGATCATTTGCAGTGACGCATGTTTTTTTTGGGTTTTGTTCGAGGGAGTCTAATTGAATAAACAGTTACAACTTAGGACCCTGCTGCTTGAAGCCTTGAACAACAGGACGTCCGGGGGTTGTGTGGGACCCCTATTGCGTGGGTGTCTGCGGGTCCACGGGTTGTGTGATTGGGTTAAGATTCACGTACAGGGCAGAGGCTCACAGGCCTCTATCATGATAGACACAAGAGGCAAAGCCCACACGATTTTATTTTTTTTAATGTAGGTCGGACCCACTGACCTGCCCTAATGAGGGACCTGTAAGGCCCCTGTATGAATAATGCCCTGTACTCGGGGCATTATTCTGTGTGGTTTACGATTTACTTATTAAGGTTCTGTTTGATTCTCATTTTTCTCTCTTCTTTTTAACAATACATTTGTCATTAAAATAGTATTACACGTAAATCAAAATTTTTTCATTAAAATAGTATTACACGTAAATCAAATTTTTTTTTTATCTACACATTTTCCATTAATCTACCATTCTAAAATTCATTTTTCCATAAAAATGGGTATCAAACACCTTCTAAACTTCAAAGTGGTTTACTGTTTACTCATTAAACTCAAAAATGGTTTGTGACGATAAAAAAAAAAATTACAACTCAATTAAATAATCCAAATAAAATATTTTATTACTCATTCAATCTGCCTAATATCGTTCCCTTTGTAGCTGATGTGTCGTGTTAAAATTTCACGCGACAAGTTACAAACCTCAAAAAAATTATAACTAACCAAATTATCAAACTCTCTAAAATTAGCATAGTGGAAATTACAGGCATGGCGATTTTTAAAGTTTCCATTTCACATATCATATTTTCAGTTTTATGATGTGTGCATTGCATGGATGGACGTGTGCATGGATTGCATGAAGATGGATGTGTGCATGGATTGCATGAAGACCCAGTCCAAAGCTGATGAATAACAAAAGCCATGAAATGTGCTGAACACGTAGTGGCTGCTTAAAAATAGCTCCTGTGATTATTTACTCTATCTTGTTAGTTTGTAATTGAATTATTATTCCTTGATTCTAGATTAGTATGTTGGGTTACTTGCTTATCACATTGTAATTGATCTATAAATAGCCATTAGAAGTTAATAAATAAAAACAACAATTACATCAACTTTGTTCTCTCCCCTTCTCATCTCTTTCCTTCTCTATTCTTCTATCGAATAAAAATTCACTTATCAGTGGTATCAGAGCCCATAACCTATAGTGTCCAAGTTCTGGTTAATTATGGCTACTCGAAATCAGTCCAATGCTGAGTTTCGAAATGAAGTTCATGAAATATTGGGACGCCATGAATCCAGTATTAACGAAGTTCACACTACGCTACAGACAATTTTGTAAGAACGACAAACCCTGCGAACATGACAAATTCCTCATGCCAATAACCCAAACACAAACCCGTTCACCTCGACCGAATCATCCCATCAAATTGGCCGACCTTCAGCCAGTCACCCTCAACCATCTTCACACCATAACAATCACCATCTCAAACTCAACTTCCCAAAATTTGATGGAGAAGACCCAAGTGGATGGATCTACAAAGCTGAACAGTATTTCGATTTCAATGAAGTCACTCCTGATCAACAGGTCTTACTTGCTTCCTTTCATCTTGAGGGAATTGCTCTCCAATGGCATCGATGGTATTCCACGTTTAAAGGACCAGTGACCTGGACAGATTTTACCAGGGCATTATTACTCCGCTTCGGGCCAACAGATTATGAAGACCCCTCTGAAGCACTCACTTGACTCAAGGAAATCGCTACTGTCACAGCTTACCAAGAAGCTTTTGAGAAATTATCCCACCGAGTAAATGGTTTGCCGAAATCCTTTCTTGTTGGATGCTTCATAGCCGGATTATGTGACAAGATAAGGCTCGACATAAAAATCAAACAGCCTCGAACACTCTCAGATGCCATCGCCGTTGCTAGGTTAATTGAAGAAAGAAACTTTTTATAAAGAAAATCAGCTAACTTCCCTCGTCCTTCTGTGCTCGGTCCACAACCAAAATTAGGGCCTAATAATTCAGTTGGGGTTCTTGGTCCCCACTTGTGCTTAAATCAGGAACCAGCCCAAACAACAATCACAATCCCTTCAAAAGAATCACAAGCCAAGAAGCCAGAGAACGTATGGAAAAGGGGCTATGCTATTATTGTGATGGAAAAATTCCTTCCTGGACATCGATGTCAACGACCTCAGCTATTCATGATGGAAGACATGATAGACACCGAAGAGGACTTGCAAGATGTCGAGCAGCAACCATTAGTTACAGGGAATCTGCCTAAAATTGCTTTCCACGCCATCGCTGGAACGGAACATCCCCAAACCATAAGACTCCAAGGCAAGTTAAAGGGCAGAGAGATCACGATCTTGATCGATGGGGAGAGTACACATAACTTTGTGGATCAAATCATTGGTAACAAAGTGTGGCTTACCCGTAACTCGTGATAAGACATTCCAAGTCATGGTTGCCAATGGGTAAAAAATTGATTGTACAGGGAAATGTCTGGCCATACCTTTAGACATTCAAGGATATCAAGTTAAGGCTGATTTTTACATTTTACCAGTAGTTGCCTGTCAGTTAGTTTTGGGAGTTCAATGGCTTGCAACTCTGGGAACGGTAGAAACAAATTACCAAAGCCTGACCATGACATTTCAAGATCGTGGGACCATTCACACTTTTCCAGGTATAAAGCATGCAGGATTAGAGGCTCTCAGTGAGAAGAAATGCCATTATATCTGTGGTTCTAGCTTGCTCCTTCAATTAATATCCCTTTCCCCATCCAAAAACCAAGAGGGTCATCCCCCAGTCCTTGATAATGTTCTTGAGGAGTTTAAGCAAGTGTTTGAAGCCCTATCTCAACTACCACCAGCTCGTATCCATGATCACCAAATACCGCTTCAACCTCATAGCGGCCCAGTCAATGTTAGGTCCTACCATTATCCATATTACCAAAAGGCCGAGATCGAGAAAATGGTTCAAGAACTATTACACTTGGGGCTGATCCGTCCTAGCCGAAGCCCTTTTTCTTCTCCAGTATTGTTGGTAAAAAAGGCCGATGAAAGTTGGCGATTTTGTGTTGATTATAGAGCTCTCAACGACATCACCATAAAGGATAAATATCTCATCTGGTGATCGATGAATTACTAGATGAATTATATGGCTCTAGATATTTTTCAAAGCTTGACCTATGATCAGGATACCATCAGATACAGATTCATGAGAGTGACATACCAAAGACCGCATTCCGCACACATGAAGGGTACTATGGATTTGTTGTCACGTCATTCGGACTCACTAATGCGCCTGCAACTTTCCAAAGTTTAATGAATGATCTTTTCCAGCCCTACCTCCGTAAGTTTATTTTGGTCTTCTTTGATGATGTACTGGTATATAGCAAGTCATGGCATGAACACATTTCTCATCTACATATTGTCTTACGAATTTTGAAGTCTAATTGCCTATTTGCTAAAGAATCAAAATGCCAGTTCGAAGTAAGACAAGTGGACTACTTGGGGCATATCATATCAAAAAAAGGAGTTGCAGTCGACCCTGCTAAAGTTCAAGCTGTTACCGAATGGCCAGTTCCTACAATCGCCAAAGGGTGCGTGGATTTTTGGGTCTCACTGGGTATTACAGAAAATTTATTAGTGGGTTTGGTGGGATTGCAGCTCCCTTGACTCGTCTATTAGCCAAAGACGGGTTCACTTGGAATTTGGAAGTAGAAAATGCTTTTAACAAATTAAAAGAAGCTTTATCATCTCCTCCTATTCTTCAACTTCCTGATTTTTTCCAACAATTTGTAGTTGAATGTGATGCTTGTGGAATGGGCATTGGAGCTATTTTATCTCAATAGGGACAGCCTATTGCCTTCTTCAGCGAGGCATTGAAGGGGTCAGCATTCACATTATCTACCTATGAAAAAGAGATGCTCACCATTGTAAAAGCTATTCACAAGTGGAGTCCATACCTTCTAGGTCGACCTTTTGTTGTTAAAACTGATCAAAAAAGCCTCAAATTTTTAATGGAACAGCGCATACTACTCCTGCTCAAACACGTTGGTTATCGAAGCTTCTTGGGTATGACTACATCATTGAGTACAACTGGGGTCAAGAGAATAAAGGGGCAGATGCATTGTCACGAGTGGGAGAAGTCAACTTCTTAGCTATCTCTCTCCTAAAAGCTGATTGGTAGAAGTACTTGCAACAAGAGGTACTTCAGGATTCCTTCTATAATAAACTGGTGGAGGAGAGTTCCAATCAAACTAAACATCAATATGTGAAACGTGATGGGGTGTGGTTTCGAAAAGGGAAAATATTCTTGAGTCCTAATTCATCTCTACTCCATGCTATACTAGTCGATGGGCACTCGTCATCTGTAGGTGGACACTTCGGATATCATAAGACTTTGGCACGCATCCAACAAAGTCTCACCTGGCCAGGCTTGAGGAAATCAGTCAAGACATTCTTACGCCAATGTAGTGTATGTCAACGTTTCAAGGCAGATTATATGACCCCTGCAGGCCTACTTCAACCCTTAACCGTTCCAACTAAAATTTGGACTGATTTGTCAATGAATTTTGTGGAGGGATTACCGCATTCACAAGGGTACACAGTGATTATGGTTGTTGTTGATCGGCTATCTAAATATAGCCACTTTGTCCCTCTAAAGCACCCATTTACAGCCTTGACAGTAGCTAAAACAGTTGTCTCGCACATTGTAAAATTACATAGGTTTCCCAATTCAATTGTGAGTAACAGGGACAAAATCTTTATGAGTTCTTTCTGGAAAAATCTATTTCAATTACAGGGGACTGAACTTAAAATGAGCTCCAGCTATCACCCTCAGACTGATGGTCAGACAGAAGTCACGAATCGGACCCTCGAGCAATATCGTCAGTGCTTTACTGGGGACCAACCATGGAAATGGTTGGATTGGCTACCTTGGGCTGAATTTAGCTATAATACAAGCATACATTCCTCTATAAAAATGACTCCTTTCAAAGCAGTTTATGGCGTACAACCTCCAAGCCTAATTCCTTACATCCCTAGCACAACATCAGTACAAGCGGTTGATGACTATTTATGAGACCGACCAGCCATTTTTAAAGAATTACGTCACCAATTAACCATGGCCCGTGATCCAATGAAGGCACAAGCAGATCAACATCGAAGGGAGGTTCAATTTCAGATAGGCGATTACGTTTATTTGAAACTTCGGCTGTATCGCCAAGCTTCTGTGGCCTTCCGAAGCTCTATGAAATTAGCTCATCGGTTCTTCGGCCCCTATGAAATCCTTGCTAAAGTTGGACCAGTAGCTTATCGTCTTGCCTTACCTCCAGGGTCACAAATACATGAAGTCTTTCACGTGAGCCTCTTGCGTAAACATTTGGTAATCGACCGGCAGTATCTCCAAATCTTCCTCCAGTTTTCGATGAATTGAACATCCTATCAAAATCGGAAAAGGTACTTGATCGACATGTCATTCAAAAGGAAAATTATCGTCCTAAGACCGAGGTACTCATCAAATGGGCAGGAGCCCCGGAAGAGGATGCAACTTGGGAGAATTTATGGCGGTTTTCGAGACAATACCCTAGCTTCATCCTTACGGACAAGGATACTCTGGGCGGAGAGGAATGATGTGTGCATTGCATGGATGGACGTGTGCATGGATTGCATGGATGGCAGATTGCTTGAAGATGGACGTGTGCATGGATTGCATGAAGACCCAGTCCAAAGCTGATGAATAACAAAAGCCATGAAATGTGCTGAACACGTAGTGGCTGCTTAAAAATAGCTCCTGTGATTATTTACTCTTTCTTGTTAGTTTGTAGTTGAATTATTATTCCTTGATTCTAGATTTGTTGGGTTACTTGCTTATCACGTTGTAATTGATCTATAAATAGCCATTAGAAGTTAATAAATAAAAACAACAATTACAACAACTCTGTTCTCTCCCCTTCTCATCACTTTCCTTCTCTATTCTTCTGCCGAATTAAAATTCACTTATCATTTTATCATTCAAAATTCAGATGCTAATTAATTATTGAACACTTATTATTAATAATTCATCACCAATTAAACCAATTACGAGTCCACTTTCTCTATCCTCTCTCTCTCTCTAGTTTTACTCCCTAGAAATCAATGGCACCAATTTTAACATTTACTCTCCACAATCCATGGGCACCAATGGCAACACCCAAAAAAGCCCAGCCTACTCCAATGTCGATGACACCGTCTTTTCTCCGACGAGTGCGTGGTTGGCAGCGCTGCAACGTTTCATGAGCAACGATGTCATTGTCGTAGTCGAGGATAGTGTCTTTCCTTCTGGATATGATGTTTTTGCTGCTTCCGCATGTGTTGTTGATGTGGGTGGTGTTAGTGAGGTTGTGGGGTGGTGTATTTTTTGGGGTATTTGGTGGTAATTTCTGGCTATTGTTGTGATGGTTTTCGACGGTTGTCGTATTGGCGATGGAGACATTGGTTATGTTGGTGAGGTTGTCGATTAGGTATAGTTGGTGTGTTTGGTGGTGGCAATCATGGCGGTTTCCAGCAATGATAAAGGTGCTCATGTTGGCAATGGTGACATGGGTAGTGTTGGTGAGATTGTGGGTTGGATATTGTTGGTGTGTTTGATGGTGATGGTTGTAGTGATTTCTGGCAGAGGTGGAGGTGGTTGTTGGTGGCTGGAGATCTAATAGCAAGGGTTGTCTTGGTTTTTATTGGCAGTTGATTTGATCTGATGGTGGCAATTTGTTGGTCATGATGTTGTGGTGTTCATGTTGGTGATGATAGGTCCGATGGTAGTGGTGGTTCTAGTGACGATGGTGGTGGTGCTGCTGAAAATAGTGGTGAGATAATAGTCGAGGGTGTTGGTAGTGGTCACAAATTATTTGATTGACTGTGACAATTAAATTGATTAATCTATTATCAATAAACAATATGTCACAAATAAAAAATATAAATTATGATCAAGAAATAATGCGTGGCTTAAAAAATTGTTAATCTGTGATCGATAATTTGATAATTTGTGACTTATAATATTTGTGATTTGTGACCAATAAATAAATCGTGACTTATAAATTTTTCGATTTGTAATCGATGAATAAACTGTGACCTATAAAATTTATGAATTGTGATCGTAAAATAATTTGTGAAATAAAATTTCTTATTTGTGATCAAAAAATAATAAGTGACTAACTAAATCGTTAATTTGTTATCAAATTGTATAAATCTGTGACTTAAATATATTTAATTTATAAATTAATTAATTAAATCATAAATAAATTTTAATAAAAATATGATTTTTGAAGTTTGAAACTTGTTTTCTTGATTTTGACGTGTGATACTTAAACTCTTAACTCTTACTTATGAATTTTTCTCATTAGTATATATGAAATTTAAGTCCAATTATTCATTTTCACTTTCAGGCCCAAAAAATCTTAACCACCAATTCAATTAGGGAATATTACCTAGAAACCTATATTTAATGACTAATTTTCAAAAAAGTAACGAGATTAAGCCCTATGTGTGGCCCTTTAATTTCAAAAATTGGAGTATGGAATAGTGATTTATGTTGAAATGTGTGGTTAAAAAAGAAGAATTTTTTTTTTGATATAAATAAGATGATAATTAGGTTTTAATAATTATAATTAATAAAAACATCTCATTCATCCCAAATCAATTTTATTTTCTCAACCTAAAATTCTCACCATCTTCCTTGTCTCTATCTTCTCTCTCTTTACCCACGCATCCTCATCCCACCATCTCTAGCAGAAGCTTCGCCGCATTGACGGCACCATCGTCGTTGGAAGCAGTGACTCGTCACAGCATTTAAACTAAGCCCCAATCGCAGCAGCAGCAGGCGATGCTAGTGATGTTGCTGCCATCGCTACTCGTGTAGCAGCGTTTGAACCAGCGACGAACCGGAGTTGTTGGTTCTAATTTGTGACCAGATCTGATAGTTGGTGGTGGTGGTGGTGGTGGTGGTGGTGGTTATGCAATCAACACCATTGTAGGGTAAAAAAGCTATTAGGGTCCGTTTGATTGTAAAGATGGAATTGAATTGAATTGCCTAGAAATTATTTTCCTAAGAATTGTAAATTATTGTGTTTGATTGGTATAAATTTTCACGTGGAAAATGTTGAAATAAAAGTAGTTTTTGCTGTTCGTTTAACTTTTTTTATATGAAAATTGTCAATTCAAGAGATAAATTTTACTGGTATTGGGGATGAAATTTATTTCCATCGCAAAAAAAAAAGAACCAAGAAAATCGTCTATCTTTTGATGTTTGTTTGTCTTTGTTTTAAATAAAAATTATCAATTAAAGGGAAATATTTTTTTACTATAATTTTTAGAATTTGTTTCCATTACCAACAAAAAAATAAATAAATTGGTACAGTGACCGGAATTGGAATTCTCACCGTATTGGTGAGAATTCCAATTCAAGGAAATGTGGAATTCAGCTTAGGTGGCAAAAAAAGTGGAAAATGAATTCTAGGTAAAAAAAAAAAATGCTATCAAACAATGCAAAAGTGGAAGTTGAAATTCATTTTCCATTTTCTAGGGAAAATTTTGGCTTATCAGACATACCCTTAGTGTTTGTTGGTGGTTTGCTGGTGGTCGAGATGGTGTTTTTTAAACTGTGGGTGGTTCGTTTGTAATTGAGATGGTTATACATCAAATTATTGTTGGTGGTGGTTATTAGTGTTTGTTTAAGGTATTGGTGGAAGTGATGGTGATAGTGATTGTTGTGGATTTAAGGTGTGCTCAGATTTGTTTGTGATGACCCCATGTGATTTAGTATGTGTTCGTTGTGATTGTTTATGACCAATTTTTTGTTGATTGTGATTGATCGTGACTTGGTCACAATTAAGATTGACCTAGTCATAGACAATCACACTGAATACAAATTTTGTCACAGTTAGTCACATTAAGGACAAATTTAGTCACAGTTAATCACAAATAACACAGGTCAGTGAATTGGTTACATATAGTTACAAATTAGATTGTCACATACAATCACAATGAAAACAAATTTGATCACAAATAGTTACATAAAATACAGGTATAGTTACGAACAATAAATCTGGTCATGGATAAATATCTGGAGATTTTTTTACAATGGAGTATAGAGGGAGGATTTTTTTTTTTTTTTTCAATTTTT